AAAGACAGCATACAGAAGACACTGTAACACAGAACTAAAGGACCCGAACAACAAAAAAATCCACAGTGAGAATTTACAGCGTCAGTATGCACATTACGTAATTGAGTTATCTTCAGAAAAGAAATTCAGGAGAAACTCCCATTCTTGCTGTATGAGCAGCCACCAGGATATCTTGCTGCTGGAAGTTGCCCAGGAAGCAGCGATGACTTCCACTTGGAACTTTGCCCACTTTCACTTTCTAGATGTAAGCAGACTGCCACATGAAATACAAACATTTCTGCCTGCTCCTGCCCCCCCAACATCATTTTCGCAACAAATTCAAAACACAACAAACCCCCCAAAATCTAGAAAACACAACCATTGCATGAATAGCTGACGAAAAATCCTTTGTGACATATATACATTTATTTCTAACTATGAACATACCTAAGATAAATAACTCAGGGTGCAGGGGGTATGAGAGATACCCCCCCAAATATTCTGCAAGATGTTTGCAGAGAGAGTAAAAACTCCTCCATCAGCAAAGTTGGAGATGACACAGAAGAAATAAAAAATATTAACACATATATATTAAAAAATTAAAGAATGCTGGGAGACTAACAATATTTGTCAATAAGAAATACAGGAAAACATCCATTAACATGCAAAACAAGCATTATATAAAAATAATACCATAGCATAAAATAAGAAAAAATAGCTGCTGCCAGGCAGAGAAATTTTAAAATAAACCCCAAAAGATAGCACACAAAACAGATGAAAAGGAAACCCTGAAAACACATCCCCAGCATGGCCACCCAGAAAACTTTTTCTGCCACACTTTCATCTCCTGTTGCACCATAACAGGACAGACAGGAGCTCCACAATAGCAGCCCTGGGAAAGAACCAGTTCCCACAGAGGGCCATCTCCTGGTCGCACTGTACAAGCACAACAGAAGCCCTCAGGAGGAAGCAAACAGAAAGCAAAAATGAAAACGAAGGAAGGGAAATTCTGCCTAGATGATGGTGATGATGAAAGGAAAGCCAGGGCACCACAAAAAGCTGCACACTGGCAGCACCCTAAGCACAGCAACCACCACCACCGAGCCAGACCAGGCTCCTGCACAGCACCCACGGCTCTACCATGGCTGTACCTGGATCCCAACAGCCCTGCCTGCGGAATGGCACCCTGGCACTTCTGCTCCTGCTCACCGCTCTCACGGCCGCCCTCGCCTGCCAACACCTCGGGACCCACCACGACACCTTCCCCTGGGAACAACTCCAGCTCCTCAACCACATGGCTCCCAACTCAACGCACACCTGTCAACTCCACAACCCGCCCTTCTTCCCCGACACTCTTCGCCACAACAACCTCAACCCGCAACAAGCCGCCGACGCCGCCCTACGCATCCTACAACACCTCTTCCACACCCTCAGCGCCAACAGCACCTCCCAGCACTGGCACACCCAGACACGACACCGCCTCCTCAACCAACTCCAGCACCACATCCACCGCCTCGAGCAATGCCGCCCCGACAACGCACGCCTCTTCAAAGGGCCCCGCAACCCCCTCACCACCATCAACAAGTACTTCAAGGACATCCACCTCTTCCTCCACGCCCACAACCACAGCGCCTGTGCCTGGGAGCACATCCGCCTCGAAGCTATTACCTGCTTCCAACGCGTGGACACGCTCCTACGGCGAATGAAGCATCAAGGTGCTCTGGACCTCACTAAACCCACGGACAGCCAACGCCCATCCCCAGTCAGTGCCAGTGCCCACGGATGGAGAGACGGCAGCAGCAGCCCAGGCTGGGATCACTCGGCACCGCTCACGCCGCCTCCAGCCACAATGCTGAGCTGATGGGGAAATGGGTATGACCGTGGCGACACCGGGGCCAGGCTGTGGCACAGCCCACAGACCCAAACCACGGCCACTGGAAAGGAATGGGGAGGAAGTTTCTGTGCTGCACAGAATGGACAGCTGGGAGGCACTGGCGATACACACAGTACTTATTACTCATGGAATTTCCAGTCCATCCAGACTGCAACCTCAACTGATGATGCAGTATGGGACCATGGACACTTTGGGGATACTTTGGGACTCTCATGCCAATCACTATTTATCACAGAACTGACTTTGGGACTCTCATGCCAATCACTATTTATCACAGAACTGTTTTTTATTTATTTAATTGATTCAATTATTATTTATTTATTTATTTATTTGGCTAGCCACTAACTTATCTATTCACTCACTTGTTAGAAATAAAGACTTTTTGTAAAAAGAGAAGGAAAAAGCAAACCTGTGGTCATCTTGTTCATAATAATATAAATAATGGCCAGTCTTCGCGAGCGAAGATTTGGGAAAGGTCATTACCCCTTCGAGCCTGCGCAGTGGATTTTTTAGGTGAGACCCAGCGTGCGCTGAACTGAGCCCACCCTTTAATCCTAAGGTTCATCTGCCGGGGCCGAGCAAGCTTGAACAGTGGCAGTGAGGGTCTCAGAACGTAGGTTTGTTTAGAGTGACCTTCTCTTAGATGGATTGCCTTACAGGGCTAACGAGCTCCATCTGCCTGGGGGGCTGGGAATCGAACCCGGGTCGCAGCGGTGAAAGTGCTGCACCCTAACCACTAGAAAGACAGTCTTCTAGGCAGGCATGAGGATGAGTCTCCCTCCTGCATCCTGTCTCACTGATCCCAGTGCCTCGTGCCCAGGTCAAAGGCTACGGATAGCAGGCCACTTTCAGGGACCCACTGTGGTCCTGAAAGCCCACAAGGCATCTCCTACTGATGCCAGACCCTTAGAGTACCCATTTGTCCAGATGACACACTTCCTCCTCTCCTGCCACCCTTCCAGACCCTCTCACAACACCAAGACATGAAAGTCACCTCCAAACCATCATCCCACCACAAATACCCATTCAGCACTGCTTTGGAACAAGCAAGGTGATAGAGACAAGGTGCATCTCAAAGAATCAAGGAGAGGAACTACTACAGTCTGCAGAGATTTGGACATGAAACAGCAGCCCAATGCTACCAACGCC